TTTTCTTTTCGCTAAACAAAACTTGGATGAAAATATCTTCAGTATCTCTACTTAATAGGTTTGCGAAGATGTTAATGAAGACATTTATAAACCATGATGGATCATCCATATTTTGTAATTAGAGTGTTTAAAACATAATGTAATAAATACTTGTATGTAATTTACGTGGCATTCACTTTTGTATATTTATTGGTTTGCAAATCATACATTTCTTTTAATTTAATTAAATCAATATATTCTTTATATATCGTTGGTTATGATTTCTTGACTTATCAATATTTATATATATATTCTTTACATATGTTTTTATATATTCGCTTTTATAATACAGCTAAGTTACAATGTCGAGGAGTAGATTAAAGGGAATATATATATATATATATATATCAGAGATATTAGTTCATAAGCATTTGTGGCACCTATTGATCTTAGCCATGGACTAAATCCTCTGTAGGGGAATGTTCCTATTGTCAGTTCTAACTCTATCACTTTTAACCCTTCAATTGATACTGGTTCTAGCAATATGGGAGGTCCAAGTTTAGATAGTATCTCACCAATTGATTTTGCTTCTAATTTGAATATAGGTATCATAATCCTCATATTTAGATTTCAATTATAATCATTAAAGTATTGGTAATTTACTAATTAACTTTTTATTTTTTACAGTTGATAACAATGATTAACGTAAGACCAGAGGACGAATAACTTTGAAAGAATTGTTTGCACTATCTCCGAATAAGCATATTATAGTATCTGTAAACTCTGATAGGCAACCAATTGGTGAAGAGTCTCAACTCTTGGCTGAATTTTTAGGCATGATTGCCTATAATGGAATGAAATTACCTATTTATTATGAAACATGATATAAAGTTTCATCAAAAGTTAAGGTCGATGCTTTAAACTTTATTGAGATATTAATATAATTAATTACAGATAAAAAATTAATTAATTTAAATTTGGTTTATTGACTATAACTTTTTTTTGTATTATTATAGTCAAGATTTGTACTTGAAATACATACTTCATTGTGCTTAAGTCATTGAGAAAGAAATGGAAAGACTATAAGCATAATTTGAAAAAAAAAGTATTTTGATCAAAATAGTATTATAGAGGCCACAACAAAAAATTTATCTCGTGATATGATTAGGTGAAAATATGAACAATTAGTTAAATTTTGGTTCTCAAGAAAAAGAGAAGTATTAATTTATAACTTTTATGATTTTAGTTGGTAATTTTTGTATTTATACTATATACACAGTTATTTTTTTTGACAAAAAAGAGAAAAGATTGAAATTTGTAGTAGAAAGTTATAGAAATATAGCTACACAAGTGAATCAAAAAGAAAAAGTAAGTTTATGATATTAAATTTATTCGAATGATTGAACTTGATTTTCATTATTGATATGTGGTAAAAAGTTACAATTTATGTTTGTTTAAGACTTTTTGTGTCGTTAAAAGGTAAAAATATAAATTTACAGTTATTATTCTATTTTAACAGTTTTGATAGTTTCAATACATGATATTAAACTTGTCTAAATAATTGAATTTGGTTTCCATGATTAATATGTATGAAAATGTTGTTTATGTCTGTTTAGGACTTTTTATGCCGTTAAAAGGCAAAAATGTAAATTTCTTGTTGTTGTTTTGTTTTAATAGTTTGAATAAATTCAATACATGATATTAAACTTCTCCGAATGATTGAACTTGATTTTCATAGTTAATATGTGTGAAAAAGTTATCGTTTACATCTGTTTAGGACTTTTTATGCCATTAAAAGGTAGTAGTACGAATTTGTTATTATTGTTCTATTTTAACAGTTTAGATAGTTTCAACACACAATATTAAACTTGTTTGAATTATTGAACTTGGTTTCCACAATTGATATGTGTGAAAAAGTTATTGTTTACCTCTGTTTAAGATTTTTTATGTCGTTAAAAGGTAAAAATGCAAAATTACTATTGTTGTTCTATTTTAATAGTTTGGATAGCTTCAATACATGATATTAAACTTGTTCGAATAATTGAACTTGGTTTTCAAAGTTGATATGTGTGAAAAAGTTATTGTTTACCTCTGTTTAAGATTTTTTATGTCGTTAAAAAGCAACAATGTAAATTTACTATTATTGTTCTATTTTAACGGTTTGGATGGCTTTCATACATAATATTAGATTTATTCGAATGATTGAATTTGGTTTTACAGTTGAAATGTGTGAATTTACATCTATTTAGGACTTTTTGTGTCGTTAAAAGGTAAAAGTATAAATTTGCTATTATTATTTTATTTTAACAGTTTGGATAGTTTCAATACATGATATTAAACTTGTCCGAATAATTGAACTTGGTTTTTATTGTTAATATGTGTGAAAAAGCTACTATTTACGTTTGTTTAAGATTTTTTATGCCGTTAAAAGTAAAAAATGCAAAATTGCTATTATTATCCTGTTTTAATAGTTTGGATAGCTTCAATACATAATATTAAACTTGTTCAAATGATTAAATTTGGTTTCCATCATTGATATGTGTGAAATAGTTGTTGTTTATCTCTGTTTAAGATTCTTTTGTGCCATTAAAAGGTAAAAATGCAAAATTGCTGTTATTGTTCTTATTTAACAATTTGGATGGTTTCAATATATGATATTAAACTTATCCGAATGATTGAACTTGGTTTCCATAGTTAAAATGTGTGAAAAAGTTATCTTTTACATTTGTTTAAGACTTTTTATGCTGTTAAAAGGCAAAAAAGCAAAATTACTATTATTGTGCTATTTTAACAGTTTGGATGGTTAGATTCAATACATGATATTAAACTTGTCTAATTGATTAAATTTGGTTTTTATAGTTAAATGTGTGAAAAAGTTATCATTTACATCTGTTTAAGATTTTTTGTGTCGTTAAAAAGCAAAAATGCAAAATTGTTATTATTGTACTATTTTAACAGTTTGGATAGCTTCAATACATGATATTAAACTTGTCCAAATAATTGAACTTGATTTTCATAGTTAATATGTATGAAAAAGTTACTATTTATGTATATTTAGGATTTTTTGTGCCGTTAAAAGGTGAAAGTATTTGCTATTATTGTTCTATTTTAACAGTTTGGATAGTTTAAATACATGATATTAAATTTATCCAAATGATTGAACTTGGTTTTTATGGTTGATATGCATGAATAAGTTACGGTTTCCATGTGTTTAACAATAACATGTGTTTTTATGTAAGCAGATTTTAGATGGGTGAAAAAAAATTTAGATGTTGTGAAACTTTTTGATTAATCCACAACAAAAATAAATTGGATCTTATCCTTAAATGTTGAAATACAAGAAATTATGATAATTTGTTGGATTCGTTTTTGCTAGAGTAAGTAACATTTTTTACTTATTTAAATTATATTATGATATTAATTATTTAAACGTATAGTTTTATATGATTGATTACAAGAGAAAGCGTAAAAGAGAAAAGGGACTGTTGAAATTGAAAGGTTAGCATCTGATGGTTATGTTAGTATGCCAAGAATTAAAAAATTGAATTTTCATAGAAGTTGCCTAGAAAAGAAAGACATGATAGGTCTGAGGCCTTTAGATTAGTTCCAACACCATCATAGCTGACTATAGATGTAGCCTTTCAATAATTTTACCATTCTTCAACAAGTTAGTTTTCGCAAGATAATCTCCATATTAAGAAAAGGATTGCAAACTATGCAACAACGTTATCGAGCAAATGAAAGCAGAAAGAAACATTGAGCATGTTAGAATTGAATAAGAATGTGCTAAAATTGAAGGAAGAACGTCCAAGAGCGTGTAAGATTTTAGCCAGTTATTCAAACACTCTATGAATTTTGTATAAACCCACAATTTCTAGAACTATCTAGGTGATCTACTAACTCAGGTTATTATATTTAGTAATTATTTATATGTTTTAATATAAAAAATAGCTTATTATTAAGGGTTAAAACTTTGTTACTTTATTCAATAGGTTCTTAAGCACGCTTGTGACTAAGGTAAAAAAAAAAATCCTTAATCAAATAGCAGTGTTCCAAATTTATGCAGTCATCAATTTTATACATTTTAAATTTTTCGTTAATGTACTAAAATAATTGAGTATTATTGCAAGTATTAAACTTTGTGTTCCATCCATATTGAAACAAATTATGTATTTATAATATTTAGTTTATGGAATTTTAAACTTGTTTTATTTTTTTAAACATGTTCTATTTAATGATAATAATCAATATTAAAAAAAATTTTAAAAAAATAAATTGCTTAATTTAACGATATTTGTACCTAAAAGCATCGTTAAATGCCAAATTTAGTGCACTTTCTACTATAAATGTCACTAAATTTAATAGCGGTTTCTACTATAAACGTCACCAAATGCAAATTTGGTGACGTTTTTAAGAACTAACGTTATAAATTTAGTGGCATTTTCTGATACAAACGTCATTAAATTTAGTAATATTTGTTCTTAAAAATGCCACTAAGTTAGTGGCATTTTTTCTTAAATATCGCTATTTTTTCTGACGACGTCACTAAATTTGCATTTTTGAAAAATGCTGCGAATCTTTTAGTTATGTTTATAAACGTCGTTAAACGTGAAAAAAATGTCACTAAAGACCTAATTCCCTATAGTGTGAGTCAAATTGATATGGTAAGAAGCTTAAGTATAAACTCATGGCTCGGTTTCAAACGAGGAGAAGATGCCAACATGCAATTAAAAAAAATTAAGAAGACTTCCGAGGAAAGAAGCTGACAATTCCAATCAATGTTTTTCAACACGGCTAATGAAGAAAGTCGAAATGCGTTCAAACACTTTGGACAGACAGAACATGCAAAGTAGACAGATATCAGATATAAAATTCATTTTGCATCTTATCCCTTCACGTTTTCTAAGAAAAACCATTACCATCCCCACCATATAAAAATGATTATAGTCTATAGAAACAAAACCCAGCTTTCATTTTATTAAGAACAAGGCCAGCTGCTGTTTTAATTTGATTTTGATCACATGGCCAGGTATCAGTTACTTCCTCAATTCAATACCCACCAGGTTTCTGACTTTCCCATCTCTCAGATCTCAATTCCTTCAGAATTCCTCAGTGAAGCTGTGTTTGCAGGAGGTGAGCTGCATGCCTCTGTGATCTCCCCCTCTGGCCATTGGCGGATCCAGACCATGAACTAGGGTGTTCATGAACAATTCAAAAATTAGAAAATGATAAAATTTAAAGGAAAAATTTTCTCTGGACATACCCGACATTTTTCTGAACATCTTTTTTATTGATAAATTCATAAATTTGTTGGTAATTTTTTTCTGTTATAAGTGGACACCTCGAAAAGGAATCCTGGAATCCGCCTTTTTCCTCTAACTGGCTTCTTTACTGTTTATATGAAGTCGATGAACCTGATGGTATATTTCTTATGATATGCATGAACTTGCAGGGTAACTTTTGGGGTCTTGAAGCTGCTTTTGGGCGTGTAGAGGGAGTCCATAAGACCGCCACTGGATTGTGGAGTACCCTTAAGAAAACCTTTCGATACAGAGAGGAAACATCTAACATATATTTGATGATTCAACAGTTTGACAGCAATCCATCTTTACCCTGTTAACAATATTTTTAGGTTTGTGAAGGAAAAACAGGCCACACTGAAGCTGTAAAAGTCATTTATGATAAGAGAAAGGTCTCATTCAGATCACTCTGTGATTTCTTCTGGGAATTCCATGATTGCACCAACAAAGACTACCTTGTAATTATTTCTTCTCCCATATATTCAGCATTTATATCTATTTTTCAATTAATTATTTGGACTATAAGGACTTAATTTGAGCCAATCTTTTTTACATTTAAATCCATATAATTTTTTAAAAATAACTAAATGAATCAACTTATTAAATTATGAAATTCAAGTCTTTTTGTCGTTTACAAATTTTTTATTACATTACAATTAAGGTTATTAGTCATTGATTATATGCTCAGCTGTCATCATTAAATCTAGAATAAATTAATTAATTTGATACAGAATTTTGGACTTGCCACACACCAAAGGTCAGCAATCTTTTACAACGGAGAAGAAGAGAGAAAGCATGCCCAAGAGTCAAGGATCAGGTGGCAGATGAAATTGAACAAGAGGATAGTGACAAAAGCCATCCCTTTTAAATCTGAATTTTATATGGCAGAAAACCAACACCAAAAATACTACTTGCAGAAGAATTATAGGCTTTGTGAAAGCTTGAATTTGAGAAGCACTGAGCAATTTGCGGAGTCAAACATTGCTTGCAAACTCAACGGGTAAGATTTTTTTTTTTTTTTTTTTGTTTTTAATTATGAATCACAGTAATTTGAACCCATTTTTCATTTCGAATAAATAATACATGTATTTATCATTAATCTCATATTTAATGACAAATTTTGTATTTGAAAAAATGAACATTTTATGGATGTGATATAAGTCAACAAAACAAATAAACCAAAAAAAATGCACTAACCTGAGGGACCCTGATTCCCCAGACTCATTTGAGTCAATGGCCTTATTAAACACGTAAAAACATGTTACACATGTTGGAAGTGATCCCGTGGAGCGTGGCCTACCTCTTTTTTTGTTTTTTAATTCTTTTATTCAAAAGAAATAGAAAAATAAATGGTAGGTATTATAATTTACATCATAAATTTATTAAATATAATTTTTGAAGATTAAATTAATTAAAATTAATGGAATTTTATTTTATTTTTTTATTTTTCAGAAAGTCATGTTGTCCTTTACATGGCATTGAGATCTTCAATCACACTACGAATTTAAGTCTTTGTCTTTGTAACCGTAGAACAAGGTTACAAACTAGGATTAAATTAACATTCTTTTTGTTTTTCCGTTTTTTGGCCAAAGGATATAATTATATAAATTGGGCATAAAAGTCAAATTCCCAACAGCATTTTATATCTACAGTTTAAAATGAGGATAAAGTTCAGATTTACATCACAATCTTTGAATCAATGCAATTTTATCATTAATTAAGGTAAAAAAATTAAAATATTTTAAGAATATTCCTTTTATTTCCTTTCTAAAAAATATTTTTAAGGTTAATTTTTTATTAAAAGGATCCAAATATAAGATTAAGTTAAATCAAAACCGATTATTATCTCTAAAGTAAATATTCATTGAAATTATAATTATTATTAACAATTATATTTAAAAATTAAATTTTAATTAAAATATATTATTTATAATTTATATTTTTTAAAAAATTAAATTCAAACTTAAAACATCATATCCAAAATCCAAATCCAATCAAATTAAATTTGTGGGCTTGATGGATAGTTTGACTTGTGAATGCTTTTGCTTTTGATGATTTTTAATCAAATAAAATATATAGTAACGTATTATTATTAATTTTTTATTAAAATATGTATCACTTCTAACGATCCAAAATATTGTGTATCAATATCATAAAGGCCTGTTTAATCTTTCATTTAATGAAATAAGGGCAACTAATTTCCTAGGTCATTTTCCGTTTGGACCTGGAGTAAATTCCTGGTGGTCACTAAATTAATACCATTTTATCACTTTCCTCACCAAACTTTAATTTGTTCTTACTAAGGAGTAGTTTAATTAATAAATTGAAAAATTTAATACTATTTTTTTAATTATAAAAATTAAAATACTGATGATAAAAAATTTTCTTTGCATGTTATTGAAAATTAAAGATTGATTAAGTTTTTTATCAAATATTTTGTAAAAAGAAATATGATATTATATGGATTTTATCTTATTAACTTTAATTAAGGGCAAATAGGCATGTTTGACCTTATAATTTGGGTATGTTTTACTAAAAAAATAAAGAGATATAGATTAATATATTCTTCTCTATATATATTTAGGGTTCTAATTCTCATCTCTCTTTTGTCCTCCTTTGCTGGTAATTGTTACCAAATCTTCAGTATATTAGCTATGGAAGCGAGGTCAACCATTGATAAGCTGACGACATTTTTGCAAACAAAGGAGATGATGGCATTGCCAGAGGAAACCAGGTTAGTATGCAAAGAAATAATAGAAGTCCTTAGAAGAGATCATGAAGATGGAAGTCTCAAAAATTTTGAAGATCATTAATATAATCGTTAATGTAGTATAGTGTAATGTTTGAGGCAAAAGAACAAAAATTTAAGAATTATTTAAGTTTTTAATAGTTTGTTATTATTAATTTAGTTTTGAGTAATTGTATGAATCAAAAACTCAACATTGTTATTACAAGAATTGCAAATCTTTATGGACACTTTAATATTTTTGTCGAATTTATAGCTAGACAATTAAATTTATTTCGAATCAATTAAACCATTAAATATTTATTTTTATCAAATTAAATCTTTAAATATTTATTTTTACTTTAATTGAACTCTTGATTAAACGGAAATAAATGTTGATAGATAATCAATTTTTATCTAATAAGGAATTAATTAGTGAAAATAGAATTTTGAGAGTTTAATTAATTATAACAAAATGATAAGAGTTTAAATGATTACTAAATTTTTTGTTTGAAGACTCTTTTACCCTTTAATCATTGTTTAATGTAGTACTTAAATTTAAAAAAATTTTAATGTAATATTTGAATTATTAACTTGTTAACTAATGTGGTATTTATTTTTAATTAACTCTAAATGATGACATGCAATGGATAAATAATCATTTAAATACTTATTAGTTAATAAATTTATAATTCAAATAACATGTTAGAAATTTTTAAAATTTAAATGTCATATTAAATATTTAAATATAATTTAAAATTTATTTATAATATTATTTCTTAAAATAATAGACAGGGAGGAATACTATTGGGATTGCAAACATCGATTCCTTACCAAAAAATAATTACAAGTGTAATGAGAAAATTGAAGACGGGATCAACAAAATCAAACTGCAAGTCTACTAGAATTCCATTGCCAATCAGTGTGTAATGGTTTTGGACTATTGTATTTTCATTTTCTTAATCTATTACATTGTAAGTCTACTAGAATTCCATTGTTAATTGAAAGCTTTGGTGCAAGGCATACCACAGACAACGCAAAGAACATGTCACGTGATTTTCCCTTCTCTCTCTCCAAAATACAATAGAATGAGACACATATATCTATAGAAAAAGATTTATGCATGCACATTCTGTCGGAAATCAATCATGCAAATTCGGCGTATGGACGATGAAATTTTAAAATTTTAATTCTCCATCAATTGAATCTTACCATGATATTGTTTTAAATAAGTTTCTAACACAAAAAAAAAAAAAAAAACTTTACCTAAGGCTCTTTATAAATTCCGATGTGATTAATTATCAAAAAATAAAAATTTTTTAATTACGTTATAACAAATTTTTTATTAACCAATTGTCCAACTTCTAATAATATTTATACGAATAATTAGCCTATAATGGTATCAACAAATACTATCTAGCTAGGAATTGCCTCTTACATTCTTCTTACATTTCTAAACACATGAGAGTCATTCATGCACAGGAGGGACGTCATCTATACTATCTATACTAATCTATACTAATTATATTAAAATAATCCTAAATTGTTTATTGATTTAACACCTATATTTGGTTTTGGGCAGGAGGCTATTTTGTGGACTATGGATGTTTGAGGTTATTCGGCTTCAAATGTTTTGGTTAATTACCTTTTGTGTTATAAAAGCTGTATAAACAGCAAACAGCGAGGAAGATGGTGGCAAAATATTTGTCACTTTGTGTTTTAAACACTACATAGACAACAAATAATGGAGAAAATGGTGGCAGACTTTTTGATGATATAAAGGAAAGGAATATCTTTTGAACTTTTTTTTTTTTTTTGTAAAACCAATATTTAATAGCACGTAGTAAAAGTCTTTATTCTTCTACAAATTCCTTCGCATAATTTCTTTTTAGAACTAAAACTGCATTACACAAAAAAAAAAGTTTTAAACTTTATTCCAATCAAGTCCAACTTGATATTCCATTTTAATTTTTCACTTAAATATTTTTATTGTGTGATATTAGTTTCTTAATAGATTGGTAATAAATATGAATATTGTAATTCTTATTAATTAGAATTAGATTAATCAAACTCTTTTGCAATATTCATCCTTAATTTTCTAAATAATCCATTCATATTTATTGATTAAGATTAATATCCAACAATGTGTCATGATCACCAAAATATAAAAAGCGTCAAGAAGGTTTGACTAACTTATTTATGCATAATTTCTTAGCATAATTCATACCTTTCATTACTATATTTCAACAAAACTAGAGCATGGATTAGTGCATGCATCCAACCATAATAATTCTCAAATCTGAAAGCTATTAGCTTTTCAAATTATCTATGAATGTATTCAAAATTTCATTTCACTCAAGTTAGAGATTTCATGAGTTAAACCTTCTCAAGAATAATGACATATTTGCTGGATCACTTGGGGTGATAAATCCTATCTCGATCATTGCTCTATCTCCACATGATTCATGCTATACCTAAAATCCACCATATTAAACATCCTTGGTTAGGACTATGTAAGAATAGTATCAAAGTATAACACTTTTCATGCAAACTAGATAGTGATCTCAAGTAAAAGGATCAATTATGCAACTATCATGTGGGAATATTGCCATAATACTAAGTGATTACTAAATAGCATTTTCAAATTGGGTTATATTTGAATACTTGTTCTTGTAACAAGCAGTTGAATGTTTAGTTCACGTATATCCATACTTCAACTTACTTTACAAGAGCATAAACATATATCAATTTCAATAACTTTTATAGTATCAAATTCTTGATAAAGCATCAACTAGGAATAAATTTAGAAATAATACTTTTATGCAATGAAGATCTCATAATGAAAATTTTCTTTGTAATTCATTTGCAAAGAATATCTTATTCCATGAATTTTACTTAATAAGTAATTGTAATTATATATCAACTTGTAGATTAAAAAAATCTTAATTAATAAAAATAATGCTTAATATAACATATATCTCATAGCCAAAATGATTAATTATAGGATATCTACTAACACACTTATATGCCAACAGCACCTGAAAATGGACTCATTCAGTGCTTTAGATTAGCCTAACACTTGGACTGGTGCACGGACACTCAGTGCTCGAGTGCTAACCGCCCAAGCTGCTGCTAGACAAGGATGCACATTAAGTTTTTGATGGAAAACTAAACAGAAACAACAAAGATAGGCAAGAGTAAACTTGTATTACTCCAAGTTGTGGTGTGTAAAATGAAGGTGGGACACCTTCTATTTATAGGTGAAACTTCCTTTCATCAATGGTTGATATTGATCCTATCTTAAGGCTCATAAAGAGTCTAGATATTACAAAGGATTACATAGGATTACAATGAAAGTGTTATAATTTACATGGACTCTTATCAGAAAGGAGTTTGAACCAAGTTGGACTCCTTCTTCAGTAATGCCCACGCAGGGCCCCTCCTTAGGCCTATGCCTGGATCGATTTTGCCCATTCCTGGGCTTATTTCTGCATTTGCACCTAGGTTTGTCTGAAAGCTATTGAACTGGATCCCTTAGCCTGAGGTCTTAGAGCTCGTTTCAGTGCCTGCGCACCCATTATGGGTTATGGTCTTGCCTTTAAAACCTCTATTGAGCCTTTGGGCTTGTTCTCCCTTGCATTTTGACTTAGTCCCTTTTGCTTTAGAATTGCTCTCGATTTCGATGAGAACCCATTGGCTTGATCTTTCTTGTGAACTGTGACATTCTTCCTTACTCATTCTAGTAATGTCCTCATTGCTAGAGGGATGCTGCACTAAAACTGCATGCCCCTACGTAAATCAGCTTCATTTTTTGCCCCTCAAACTAGATTTTTCATGTTTCGATCCTATACTTGAACAAGTATTTTGCTAGTCTTCACTTTTTTCTCAAGTATTATCAGCCTTATGCTACACTGGTCCTTTTCATCTGCACATCTGATGTTTTTTTTGCTCCTTTTGAGTTGTCCATTACATATTTTTTTGAGGGATCTCGCTACACCTTAGGCCTCACATTGTGGCACTTCGTTGCATTTTCCCTTCATCTCCTGAAGAGGTTCTACCCTCTCAACATAATCATACAGCATCGGGCCTCATCATTTTGGGCTTATCTTGAAGCTCATCAGCATTACTACTTTTGCTTATGGATAGCTTTTCTGCTCGATTGATGGTTGAAAGCCTTGCACTTTTTAGGGCACTCCTTGACTCTGTACATATCGTCATGCAAAAATAACTCAAGGGCTTCTTCTCCTTACCCTTGTTAATGGTTCTATTGACCTTGCAAAATCTGGGCTTTCTTGTAGCTTTTTTTCTTCTGAAAACTATCACCTGTGTCTTCCCCACTCTAGCATTTTCCCCTAAGCCTTGGAGACTTAGTGCATTCAACTTGGGTATTCGATTCATAACAACACTTGCTTGACTTGACTCTTTCATGCCTCTTTATTGTAACACGATCTTTACCCTCAGACTTTAAACCATCCAAAAATCTCTTAGGCACCTCCACCCTAGGTTTTAAGCCTACACCAACAATTATGGTAGCTTGTAATGTAGCATAATCAACCTTGAGCCTTGCTAGCTCCTCTCGTAAGGTTGACACCATGGCCTTCAATACTTTATTCTACTGCATGATAACCTTCATTTTCTCATTCAATGATATCTTTTCCTACCTTTGAACCTATCCTTCAAATCAACAATGGTCACCTCACACTTTTGCAATCAAGTGCCTAGGGACATCACCATGTCTCACGATCCAAACTTTTTTTTTTTGCCTATAGGTAGGCATTCATCAAGGCCCTTATTCTGGCTTTCAGTCTAGTTTTTTTTGGCCATGTCATAGCCCCAAAACACATTATCAGTCATGAATACACAAAACCAAAAGGGATTATCTCAACCTTCTATAGCACTTCAGTGATCAGGTTTTAGCCCCAATGAATCAATGCACTAGTTTATTGGCACAGCACATCAACACACACACTATCAAGCACCAATCTGCTCACTGACTCACTATGCCTTGTACTCTTAGTTAGGCACCAGTCTGCATGCTTGCACAGCATGTCAGCACTCCAACAACATCACAACTGTAATGGGTTGAGCACTTGTTTTGCATTCTCGCATGCCTGCAG